CAATTCTTTGGTTTTCGATACGTTTAAATCCAAAAAGTTACAGTCACACCAGGAAATAAAATCAGTTAGGGCGCCCTCATGGTTTGATTCTGAACCATAGAGGAGGGACAACAGTGCAGTGTCATCTGAAAACTTAATCAGATAGCTATCCTCCTGCCTGCTCCTGCATTCATCAGTGTATATGATACAAAGTAAGGGCGAAAGGACGCACCCTTGGGGTGAACCCGTGAAAGTGGTTACAGAGTCAGAGAGACGGCCATTGACAGACTCTTTGCTCTCTGCCAGTTAAGAAATCTAAAATCCATGACACAAGCTGTTGAGACAATTCAAATTTAGACACTAGCCTCTCTGTGAAGAGATGTGGCTGCATTGTGTTGAATGCTGAAGAAAAATTCAGCAAATAGGAGCCTGGTCTGGGCTTGTGGCTTCTCTAAGTGTTTGTAGAGGTGATTAAGTATGAAAAGCTTTGCGTCCTCTACACCTCTCCCTGTCTGATAGGCAAACTGTAATGACCCTCTATAGAAGACATGACCAGGCCTTTAACGATTTTCGCAAAGATTTTCATTATTAATGACGTTAATGCAACTGGTCTGAATTCACTGAGCTGTTTAGGATTAGATGTTTTTGGGATGGGAATCACAATAGAAGATTTCCACATGCCAGGAATTTGGTTACGATCAAGTGACATTTGAAAGACATGCTGGAGGACACTGTTGATCAGCACAATATCAAAGTGTACGCCCACAAATGAGGTCTGGACCAGGGGCCTTCCTTATATTGACCCGTTTTAAAAGATCTCTAACATGACCCTGCTCAAAGATAATGTTAGAATCAGAGATAAGAGACTCTCTGAGGAGGGAAACGTTACCAGAAAAGTCATGCATTTCAAAGCGGGAATAAAAACTACTAAAAACATTCGGAAGGTCAGTCATGTTTATTCCTTCAATTTTAATAGGATTCCTGTCACTTCCACTACTTCCCTGAGAGATGGAGGACATTGTCTTTATTCCTTTCCAAGCTGCCCGAAGATCTCCACTGGTGTATTTGTGTTCCACCTTATCCCTATAAACTCTTTTAGCTTTCCTTATCTCGTATAAAAGATGTGTTTCTTCATGTTTATGACATTTTTTAGTTTCTTGGTGACCCACGGTTTGTTGTTAGGAAATATGGTAATTTCCTTACAGGCGATATTAGAGTCCAAACAAAAAGATATATAAGAGGAAACAGTTAATGTCAAATCATTTAAATCCACACATGAAGTATAAAAGACCTCCTAATCTGTCAAATCGAAGCACGTCTGTAAGGTGGCAATGCTGTTCTCTGTCCAGCATCTTACTGTTTTTACTGTACGCGCTTGCTTCTTACAGATGGGTTTGTAGATCGGCATCAGCAGGACACTGCTGTGGTAAGACGCTCCAAAGGGAGGCATGGGCAGGGACCTGAAAGCACCAGGCACTGAGCCATTACACTAGTCACTTGTGGAGTTTTTCAAAGTTGTTGCACAGGTGACATATTGCTCATACGTCTTCAGAGTCCTGTGTATCTGGCACTGATTAAAGTCTCCCAGAATAAATTTAGGTGCGTCGGGTGAGATGGCATCGAGTCTGTTAGTTACCTCTGCGATCAGCTGTGTGGCTGCAAAGATGCTGGCCCGCAGGTGTATGTAGACGATGGTGAAGAAGCTGGGGGAAACTCCCTTGGCAGATAAAAGGGCCGAAGGGAAATGGATAAGAGCTCAAGGTCGGGGGTGCATATTTCCTCCTGAACTGTGACGTTATTACAGTACCTCACATTTATGTAAAAACATAGTCCACCTCCGCAGGTTTTGTTCATTATGAGAGGTGACCGGTCCATCCGGACAGGGTGCCCAAAGCCGCTGATGTGCAGATCCGAGGCTTTCAGCCACGTCTCTGTAAAAGCCAGCAAACATGTGGCTCTAAAATCACGCTTATATGTAGCGTAAGCCTCTAGTTCATCCATTTTATTCCGGATGGATTGGACATTAGAGAGGAGTATAGTCAGGAGCGGAGGAAGCCGGCATCGGTTATCCAGCCCATATTTCCTCAGTCTGCATTGGACACCTCCTCTCTTCCCTCTCTTCCTCCAGCGCTTTTTGGACTATATTCCACCTGTTGCTGCCAAGATATCACTCCGTAGCGAGTGGGGAACGGCCGAAATTGCATTGCCTGCTGTCAGTGGTTGCAGGTCAAGCAATATCTCCCGGCTGTAGGTGATCCTGTAGCCAGCCACGCTGCCGTCAACATCTAGTCCCCAGGCAAACCGACTTAAAAGAGTCCAAAGTGCCACAAGGACGCCAACGTAGATGCACCTCATATTAAAGACTTCCACACAAGCTCCAGAGTGATAAAAAACAGTGTTAAAAAAACACAACGAACAATTACCACGACGCACAGCTGCTCCCAGGTCGCACAATTGTGAGCGCCGCGGAAGTTCAACAGACAGACAGACACACACACACACACACACACACACACACACA